AGCCGGATCGAAGGAATTTCTAAGTTCGATCTTTATATTAATAGCATTAATAGTTAAGGTTAATATAATTGGTTCTAGCTTTTATTATACCTACTTGTATAAGAAGAAATGGCTTGTTAGTAGGTTTTCGTGACTGTACAAATTTTTTGGATAGCTAGTTTAATTTATAAACACCCTCACAGTTACTAAGCAGTGTTTTTTTTTTTGAGATTGAATTTTGAGAGTCAATTTCCGTTCCGATATTTTGCAACATTTTTACTTTAATAAATGAATTGAAACGAAATGGGTATTTATAAGGTCGTCGGCAATTTTAATTAAGTAGAATTAATTGAAGAATTATATTTTGAATATAAAATTTAGTTAATTTTAATACAAAGTTATTGAAAGTGATTAAATATTTATGAAATAATTTGTATAAAGAATGCACGCTATTTTTGCAAATAAATAAGTTATTACATTACAATGAATATTTGAATCTTGTAATAATTTTCGATACTACCAAAAGTATTAGCAATGTTGATTTAAGATAAGGGTAGATCACAATAGATCAGTTGATGGTCGCAGTGATGAGGGGCTGCATAGGCCCCGAATCCACCCAACTAAGGGTATAAATTGGTACGATGACCCGGGCCTAAAAATGTATGTTGCTTTAAAGCAACAAATTTGCATTTTTAAAAAGTGACTATGTATATCGCAAGCACGTGATAAAAGTCTGTACCACTGTGAAAAGAGAATCTTGACGTCCGATATCAAAAGACGGCTTCCTGTTCATTTCTGCGCCACTTGGTTACTTGAACGGCGCCCAGATATTCATTAACGTCGCCGCTTAACACGTCTCCAGACTAAGTGTAAAAAACGTTGAAAATGAGAACAAAGGTTGATTTATGTACCTACTGTTTTTTTAAAACCTGAAAATTATACAGCACTCCGTTTTCACGTCGATCAAAAAACTGCCAGACGTCGCCGCCGCCGCACTCAAAATTTTACGATCGGCGCACATGTCTACTCCAGACATATATGCATAATAGAATATATTACGTACGAATATTATGCCATATTATATGAATAACATACGAAGTGTTAGTAGTAGGTTCGTGGTGTAGTAAATAAATAAACCCTGAGTACTTACCAGAATTCATAGAGTAAGTGAATTAGAGAAGTATGAAACAGGGTGACCATGAGTTTTGTATTCTTTAAAACATTTGAAAGATTCTTGTCTCCAAATTTATTTATTGTAATGTTTTGGATGTGTTAAGGTTGATAAGGTGAAATTCACACGACTACCTCCGTACCATTTGGACTTGTAGTTGGTAATTGAGTAATTCGGAGTGTAGGGAGAGAAGCCCCAGGGCTTCTAGGCTACCAGTAGCCTAATGACCTTAGAGCCTCTCTAGCAAAGGGCTCGCACCTCTGAGTTTCTCGGAATTCATGTGCGAAATTTAATTTCAAATATACCATGAGCATTTCGGTGAAGTAAAATATCGTGATGAAATCTGCACGTCAAAGAAGGTTCACAACCCTCGAAAAACGTGTGAACTCCCCAACTCGCGTTAAGCCAGTGTGGCGGACTAGCCTAAACCGTCGTCTGAGATGAGACATGTGCCCAGCAGTGGAACGTATCAATTTTATAAAAAAATATATATTTTATTTTTTATTTCATTTATTTTAAATGTACACAAACGGAATGTACTCAATCAACACGATAGATACAGTTTAATACATTAATAGACGACCACATTTCGGAAACAGTGTACACATCACGATAGTATTTGTTTTAGTAACAAGTTAGTGTAAAATTGCATTCTATAATTTAAAACGAAAGAAACAAAAATGTAAAAAATAAATAAATAAAAGTTTTACAGCGATTTGTTTCAATAGTTAAATAAAAATTATAACAATATAAAATAACTCAAAATCATAGTCAATGCACAAAATGATTAAAAACTAAAACTCAAGCGATGTATGCGATTGCGTCTTATATAAATTAATTTTCGAATTAAACACATCCCTATGAGCGTTACATTGCTTAAATTTATCATTCAATTACATCATAAATGGACTGTTATGGGAGAGTTCACTGCTTCTAACTTTAGTGTAAAGAAACTGACTATTGTACAGCAATAATCAATGTATTGAAAAATTAATTTTCAATACATAAATAACAACGATTGGGTGTAGTCACTGCAGAGGTGGGAACCGCATATGCGAGATTGTTCGACATATTGGAATATTAAACTTTGCAAAGATTAGTAAAAATCGATAAACAAGTAACCTTAATTATTTATTTTATTAATATTTCCATTGAATATTATAAACATAAACTAATTAGCTAAAGTTAGGACATCAAGGACGTGATATCTGAACAATATTCCATAAGTTTACCTTCAACTTAGAAGGTACAGTTATATACACAAGATACCTTACCCCCCAAGCCGACTTTGTAGACCTTTTGGTTCTAAGCCCAAAAATATGGAAAAAATTGTTAAACAAACATAACGTAAAATGTATTTTGGTATGGCTCCCTAGTCGTCTCGTTAGTGCATAACATTGTAATGAAGTTTTTAAGCCAATTTGATCTTTAATGTAGAGTACTTACTTAAATACAGGATACAAATTTCAAGCAGCTACAATAAAGACGTCGTGGCCTAGCGGTATAAGGATTGCTTTGCAAGTTGACGCAAGCATGGTTCGAGTCACATTAAAAATAAAATATTATTTAGCTAGGACTATATAATATTGCTTTTTTTTGGTTTTAATCTCTGGATAGTTGTAAGGATTGTCTAAGAATGTTAGATTCTGAAAATGAACTGCCTCCCAGAAACAATTGGTGATTGAAATAAAAGTAACCTTCTTGAGTAATTCAACAAATATTTTAATAATTATTAATTCAAATATCGAACACTCAAAAAAAGATTCCTTCGATCCGGCCAGTTTCGAACCGACGTCTTACAAAATACAAAGATGTGATAACAAGCACATAGAAAAATTCGTGAGGTCCGCTGGTTCGTTCCGTGGCTTAGTTGGTATAGCGTCTGGTACGGTATGCTAGAAGACGTCGGTTCGAAACCGACCGGATCGAAGGATTTTTTTCTGAGTGTTCGATGTTTGTATTAATAAATATAACAAACTAGTAAGTAATTTCACAAAAAATAATTGATTCATTAAAACTTTGAAATATTTTTCTAAATTTTAATTACTAAACATATTTAAAATACTTACAGCCTATATCAGTAACTACTGTAGTTTAACCGACTTCAAAAAGAGGAGGAAGTTTTCAATTCGTCTGTATGTTGTTTTTGTATGTATGTTACGGGATAACTCCGCTATTTGTGAACCACTTTCGATCATTCTTTTTTTGTTGGAAAGAAGATACCTCAGATGTGGTCCCATTTAAATTTCAAGAAAATGTTCCACCTCTAAGGGTGGCAAACTAGGGGATGAATGACTTTTGAGGTCGGTTTTTTTTAACCGGAGGTTAGGTTAGGTTATTTAAACTCACAACATAATTTTCACAATAGTATCTATATTGACCAAACGTTCGAAAAAGTAGATATAGTTAGTGTCAATACATTCTTCATGAAAAGTAAAAAAACCGGTTTGGTTAAAATTCTTAAACAATCATTTAATTAATGGAATACCTCACGCATTCATATTTAATGATTTCAACTTGATATCTCACTACTTTTTCCAATAATATTCATTTGTATAGCATGTTTAAATCTTATTTGAAACTTACTGACTTATAACTATAATGTAATCTATTATTAAAAACTACAGAATTACCACTTCAATATCGCAAAATAAAGCCTTCAGAATCGATCACTTGCTGTAAACGGCCTTTCATGCCTGTGACCATCGACCAGCGTAAATCTCCACCACGCGTTGAGTCTCACATGGACACCACAAGATCGACCAGCGTAAATCTCCACCACGCATTGAGTCTCACATGGACACCACAAGGTCCTTGTTTCATAAAGTTGAGCAGTTGATTTTGTAGTGGCAAAGGGCAATCTAGGTGACGACTAGATGCAGAAGTAAACATTACCGGTGCTGGCCCCGGCTGATTACGTTGCACATTTCCAGTCGCTCTGTCGCGATTGAACCACAGCTTGACAGTGTTTCTCTGTAAACAAGCAATTTATAATACTGTATACATCTACATAATTGTAGTTTCGAATTTTACCTTGTGCTAGATTTTTTTTTAAATTTTAATGATTCGTTAGACATGTTTTATAACACCCGTGGGATAATGAAGGGTAGGGTGATTCTTTTGCAAATTGAAGCCAGCTGCAGCACTGTGAAAAATATAATGAGTCTACTTACCGCTATATGAAGTCGCCTTGCAATTTCTTTGATTGGCACATCTTGTTCATACAGAACAATAATTTCTAATTTTAATGATTCCGTTAAGTGCGGCATTTAAACTCAATAGATAAATGGGAACGAAACATGGAACAATGCGTAATCGCAGAAGACACGATCGTATGCAAACTGCAGAGCGATTTCGGGATTTGTTAATCTATCCATACCCACCATACACTTTATTAATAATATCTACCTACCCACCTTCAACAATTTCTAGTGAGCAAATATTGTGATTTGTCAACGTTAACATTAAAAAGTGAAACAATGCCGTTAAAAATATAACGTTAAAACAAAACAGTGCTCGTGGAATCGAACCACGCGTATTGTAGCTGGCAGTACATGCAACAAGCCGCTCGACCATTTTACTTAGATGTTAAACGACGAAATGTAGGATTGGTTTTAAAAATATGTTGATCATCTTCAAGCAACACTCCACTGTATTGCTTATACAATAAATTTGAAATTCTTTAATTTTTTCTTTGTTCAATACGTAAGATGGCTCTCAGAACCAAAAGGTCGGTTTGGGCATGTTAGGGGGTCAGGTATCTCATATATATGACTGTACCGTTATTACTATCTACGTCCACCTTCTACAGTTGGTTTTCACTAGTATTTTACATGATTTTCATTTCCAGGACATCAAATTCATGCTGCTCCCGTGGGTGGTGGCAATGGGACTAGAAACATTAGTGGAAATTGTCAATCTCGTCTACCTGTTTTACTTACAGACGGTAAGTGAATCTTTTTAGATTACTTATTTAAGTACCAACATTTTCCCCTTTATCATCTTTTACTATCTTTGTTATTTAAATTAAATTCAATATTATACCAACAGAAAAAAGATGCGATAGTGCGCATCCTTAGTGCAATAATATACCTATGTAAAAATAAAACGTTTCAAGAGAGAGACTGTTTAATAAAACACGGAAGAAAAAAGCAATGGAAGTGCTATAAGCCTCAATTACTATCGGAACCGCTGTCGATTTTGAATAACTTTCGAATTTAATAATCGTTATGTGATATATAATACCACTGTCTAGTGTCGTAATGCGGGAACGGCCGGCCGCAGTGTAACTTATATTGTCTAATGTCTATGGTACATTATGTGCATACACTACATCACTCCCTTTCGATAAAATTAATAAAAAATTGACAATGTGTACTTATTGAAAGGGAGAGATGTAGTGTATGCACATAGTACCATAGACATTAGACACAACTTAGCTTATATAAGTTACACTGCGGCCGGCCGTTCCTGCGACGACACTAGACAGTGGTGCGAGCGGACGTATCGTACGTGTACGTGAAGTAAACACATGTTGTTTCATTGAGCTATCCCTATACTAAGTGGCGTAAACGCCAAACATAGCAGCTGTTCACCAATTTTAAAAAAATGAGCCAATCTCTGGACGTTACGCGACATTAAAAACGATTCTGGCGTACATCTTGGAAAAACTTTGTGCTTTTCTGTTTTCTATAATTTTGCCTCTTGTTTTAAATTAGGCTGAGTACTCCATGAGTATATTTACATGACTATAGTTCATAATTGTATTTTTGCTCTTCTCACAAAACTCATTTATATAATCTAGAAGAAAATATGAAAATACAAAAAAATAAAAATAACAAAATCGAACTCCAAGGTAAGAACTTTACTTTACACCCTTTTTTTAACCGACTTCAAAAAAGGAGGAGGTCCTCAATTCCTTTGTATGTTTTTTTTGCATGTATGTTACGCGATAACTGCGGCAATTGTGAACCGATTTCGATGATTCTTTTTTTTGGAAAAAGGGTACTTCAGTAGTGATCCTGGGAGAAGTGGTTTTTACGAAGCAATAATGGTGTAAAAGGCTTATTGTTTTGTGTTGTCATCTATCAAGTCAATTGAGTCTTTATCTATAAATCAAATACTCGTTGCGACGAATTCAATGAACCTAAGCATTTTAGTTCTACTGTACTTAGCTGAGGAGTTTGTAGGTACTGAGATAGTCTGCAGACTTCTCGATTGAGCTCAGTACCTCTACCATAAGTTTACCATGACAGTTGTCGTTAGCGCCCGCGTAAATTACTTCACAATTTTGTATGGGAAATTATACAGCGCCCCTAGCGGGCACAAGGCCGGGATTTCTGGACGAGTATGAGTTGTATTAATACGAGTCAAGCAATCCCCGTTCCCACTGATGCTTATATAATGCTTTTCTCAAACAATGTGAGGAAATAATAAAAGACTAAAGAAAAGAAGATCTTTTATACGAAAAGAAAAAAAAAATGTTAATTATTATCAACAGTAATATTTGACGTGTTAGGACAGTTTTGCTGAAAGATAACGTTCTAGTCTGCTGAACTTCATGATTTGGTATCTTTCTTTGTTCATAGCCGACAACCAGTTTTCTACGGCTAATATTGCCTTTTGTTTTAAATTAGGCAGAGTATTATCTATTACTGTATTTTAGTTATCGCTCTTTTCGCTAGAATTAATTTTCACGACGAAAATACAAAAAACGACGAAACACAAAGCATATTTGTTTATTTTACCGCCTTTTTCTTTTTTTAAATAATTAGCGGTAAGAAGTATTTTAAACTCTCGCAATTGCAAACCCTGGGCAGTTGACTGTATATGAGATTTTCTTTTGTCTGTTTACATATGCTTTATATTTAAAAGTTCAGAACAGCGGACAGTAATGGATTTTCATACTTACTTTGCAGGCCTTGGCCGGAAATAAGTAGCACAGTCCATAAATGACAAACTTTATGTGTTCGTTTTTTGAACGTAAACATTTCCGAGCATGTTTGAGAAAAATATTCACATTATGACAGACATATTTACATATTCACATTATCTGGACGAGCAAGTCGTGCGCCTGGTGGAAAGCGACACGTCACTTTAAATCGCAAAAAACTGAGGGGCACTGGCACTGAGTCCGTCACCCTGCGACATAAGTTGACAAGTTCCATGTGCCTCTAATTTCACCAACATCCTTACCCATGAAAACCGGAACGCATTACTGCTTGGCGACAGAAATAGTTCAGGTGGCAGTACTACCCTGAACGAATTCTTTCACAAGGAGCTCTGCTACTACTACCGTTACATACTGACACACAGATCTAATAGGAACACAGACAATATCTAAAAAACTTATTACCACTCTCGGGTTACTTTTGTTGATTTGTATGGATATTCTCAACTACAGTCTGTTGTACAACATTACGAAATTAATACTTAGCTCAGACTATCATATTAATATCACCACAAGATTATTCGTGATTCGATCAGGGAGTGTGAATGCTGTACTGTCAAGAACCGTGTGTCAAAGTGTGGGCGTATTATCTACACTTATTTACTTATTTATTTATTTTACATGCACAAGCTAGCAACTATCAATACCAGGCTAACCTAATGCGACAGTGCTGCCAAAATTATCAAAATTCAATATTATGCTATTAAATTCTGTTATATTGAGTTATATCAAATTATATTATACCGTATATTACAATTATTATTATACACTCAATCACGGTCCCGGGGAATTCACTGGTAGATGGAGACACAGCAAAAGTCCTATAAAGTTTTAATTTGAACGCAAGGTGCGATTTGCTTCAAACTAGGGGTAGATATTTTCAATATAAAAGTAATAAGCACATGTTTCAGAGTTTTTAACAGTACCCCTAAATTGGGGTGAAATGCCATATTAAAGTTTGTTTTGGGAACTTTTTAATGCGCGATGCGATTTACTTCAAACTTGGTTTGGATACTTGAAATACAAAATAAATAAACACGCGTTTTTGAGTTCTTTCAAAACAACCCCTAAAAAGGTTTAGGTTAGGATATCGTAGTATTTTATAAAACTCTTTCTATAGAAGATCGTGTTCCTTACATTTGCAAACTTGAATATATTTCATTTGCGTTTTAGTACCTAATGTATTTAGAGGTCTTGAGTACCCTTAAAAAACGCAAACTTCTGTACTTTGGTTCTATAATACGTAATGATAAATACGACTTGCTCCAACTAATTATGCAAGGAAAAATATAGGGAAAACGACCACCTGGAAGGAGGCGTATTTCGTGGCAAGCATCTGCAGACATGGATCAACCTGAGCACAAGATCCTTGTTCCGTGCAGCTGTGTCTAAAATACAGATAGCCCTAATTATGGCCGACCTCCGGTAATATGCGCACTAAATCGTGGGCTACAGCTAGTTACTTCATAACATATTACGAACAAAGCTATTATATTGAACTCACACGGAGAACAGGGAAATATGTTAATCTTTCCGTCAACAACAAGTCTAAGTCGTCGAAGTCCTCAGTCCGATATGCTCTTGTCAGTGGTGCCCTATTCAGTAGGACCGTTCTTCCGCGAGGAATCGCCAGCATCTGATGCCACTTCACACCTTTAGGTTCTATACTATTATCAAAAATATTATAAATTGATAAGGACCACTTGAAAACGCTCCTAAATTGATAAGCAATAACGTGTCAACCAACATATCATAGTGTTGCGAAAATGAGATCTAAACACTTTTACGGTGTTTTTGATAGTTTGTCCTAAAATATACTTGTAAAATGAAAACTTTTACTGTTGTCACCTCAGGAATTATGAATTGTTGTGCTTACTACTCTAATTCCCCTACAACAACAAGCACAACAGCAAAAGTTTTCGTTTTACAATTAAATATCAAAAACAACAAAAAAGTCTTTTCACTTCTCATGCTCTAAAAGTACGTCATTACAGCCTTACGTAGCGGGAGTAAAGTGCATCATTTCATCCAAAGTACCTACCTAGTTTTTTAATTTACTTTGAGTGACCTGAACAAACTCAAATAGCCAGTACTTGCTCTACTTTGTGCCAAAAGGTAAATAAAAGTTCAATAAGTGAAACAATATAATTAGAACCAAAACAAGACTTACTAATAATCACGAAAACGAAAAAAGACAATTATAATTTAAAATTATAATAATTCATCAAATTAGATAAACCTACGGTTTCATAGACATCGCTGCGCTGCGAAAATTCAATAAAAATAATAGACGCTCATGATTGAATTTTAGTTCATGATTTTGGTGTAGAGCGTAAACGAATTAAATATTTTTCTTTTTTAAAAGTGTAGTGAAAAGTAAAGTTTTCACCTCAAGACTAAAAGCTAATATAAACCCTCGGAGTAATAGATACCCTCGCTAAAGCTGAAAATTGTATTATCAAACTTTAATATGTATGCCGATATGTATCTTATTACATCCTATCACGTGCTTTTAATTCAAATTCCATACTTTTCCATAATCTGTAATTCTGTCTCCCTAACCTTTTGATTGGCTAAATGGGAAGGTGCCATTTTCGCAAAACTATGACCTTGTTGGTTGACACGTTATTGTTTTTTTTCTATAACATCAAGCAGCATCCAATTATCAATTCGAGTTTCTAGACTCTAGAGTTTTTAGAAAATATATCCAGAAACCTCATCGCTTGTCGCAAACAACGGCACGTATAACAAAAATCCCCTTCACCATCAATATCCTTAATAAAAAAACTATACTTCAAACAAAAGTATCGGAAAAATAGCCTAACTCTGAGTGGCAATGTGACTGTTATGGACAGGCGTGTTGCTTACCATCAGACGCACGACTTGTTCGTCCCGTCACTTGATGTTATAAAAAAAAGCCTTAAAAAATAACAACCGATATACGGAAGCGTTCCACGTGCCAATGAAGAATACATTTCATCATTGCAACAGCAAAA